GGAAGTGGTGGAGTCCCCATCCCTGGAGGTATTGAAAAGACGTGTAGATGTGGTGCTTAGGGACATGGTTTAGTGGTGGACTTGGCAGTATTTGGTTTGCAGTTGGACTCAATGATCTTAAATGTCTTTTCCAACCTAAATGATTCTATGATTCTGTAAGTTAGGAATATTGTCTATTTCTTACATTGGATTTCCATGTTGCAATTGTTAGGAATTAGAGTATTTCAAATTAATCAGTGGAGCCTTGTGTTACATGTGCAAGATAGGCCATTCTGAGGTTTTGTTTTGTTTTGTTTTTTGGGGGTGTGTGTGAGTAATCTTTGCAAGACCCTTGGCACTCGACTTCATATGAATCTACTGACCCTTATACAAGACATTAATGCTCTCTGGCAAGCATCTCTCTTCTGAAAGTCTGAGGTGTTAGGTACCTTGTACAAGAGATCTCCTTTCCTACAGCCTTCTGTCATGCATATTTATAATTTGTCTGCAAAATCAAATTTATTCTGGATGAGGTGAAAAGCATCAGGGAAGTGAGTATTCACTTAATCCGTTTCAAGGAGGTTTTTTTAATTAACTTGTATCGTGCTGCATTTTAAAATGTGGTTGTGCTAACTACTGTATATGCCTTTCATAATGGATATGATGAACATAGTATAAATTTTATTTAATAACTGGTAGATATAATAGGCACAAACTTTTTTACAAAAATAAGATAATCCAATCAACAACAGATCCTGATTTTAATTATGCAGCTGAGATATTCTGCATTTACTGTACTATTGCAGATCATGTGTCGCAGTTCTTACTGATCAAATGAAATGGAATAGGGCCTTTAGAATCTCTCTGTAGGTGTGGGTTAATGAAATGAAGTGTGCGTGTACTCAGGATTTATATGTATCTGTATATTTAACTTATGTTAGTAGTCTGTAATTTTTACCATGACACGGCTAGGAAAGAACAATACTTTACGCCCATAGCCAACATCATCTGGCTATAGAGAAATAAAAACCTTTGTCTCTAGTGCAATTTAAGAATTAATTTGTTACTTATTCTGTGTTAAAACATGCCTTTTATGATAGTAAAGACAATGATGAACCTAAATCAAATTAGACAGAATCTCAAAGGAAAATATGACTCATCTATTGTGAACATTCAGAAATAGAGGTAAAAAGAAATATTTATGAATTCCAGTTCCAATTTAGCTTGTGATATTTAAAAAAGGAAATCTAATACTGAACTTGAGTAATAAAGTTGTATGAATGTTTTATATTATGGCATGTAGTTACAAGAATTTTTATATACTTCTCTGTTAAATCTGAGATCCAAACGCAAAAACCTGTAGTTTAGAGAGGCAACTGACATCCAGAAATTCAATATATGGGTTTAATGTTCCTGGTTGATTTTTTGCTGTTTACACCAGTGTAAATCTTCTGATTTAGGAATAATAATTATAATACACTATAGCACTTTATAGGTCGTATTAGAAATATTACCCATTTCCCTAATTTCAGAATAGAGTAAGTCTGTGAGCCTATGGAAGGAGGACTATTTACACTAAATTAACAGGCAGGTGAGAGCATATCAGGACTCAAGGCATTGTCTACAATGTATTTCTTATAGTCATACACTGATGAAGCAGTTCAGAGCCTTACATTTCAGCTAAATTAGTCTAGTTTATTTTTTACTGTTGATAATTGTGTTAGCTATACCAAATATTTTTAAAAATGGGTAAATGGACCCAGAATGCCCATTACATCGTATCTACCATTCAGGACAAAATTCATTGTAAGCACAGACACATAAAATCAGTGACATGGTTTCACTTCTGATTCCAACAGCTTCTTCTAAAGCCAAATGGAGGTAAATGAAAAAAGCAAAATGTAAATTACTATATGTTTTGATTTGAAGGTTGTATGGTAAGGCTTAGCGTTTCAGCCATTAGTTAAGGAAATAATGCTCACTCTTGCAACTATCCCTATTTAAGTCAGTTTTTATAAGTGAAAAATTATCCTCATGAGTAAGGATTTGTTCTGGATTGTTGCCCTTAGATTACAGTTTTCCAAATGCAATCCTGATGGCTAAAGGGAAACTTAGTAGCTAATATTGTTCTCCACCATAAGATGTTTGTCCTTGCAAACAAAAATATATAAAAGACATGTGAGGAGATGATCTGGAATGGAACATGAGAGGCAGAAGCATATCTCCATGGATAGGGGATAGGCAAGGTCTGTGATTACAAGCCAAGAAGGCCAGATGTGCTTATTTCCATGCTATGCAATAAAGTGTAAAATATTCTGAGGAGAAACTATACAGGAAAAATTGTTATAATAGTTACTGAAATTTGCCATTGAGCTGGAGGATGTCCATGGCCACAAGAGGAGGTTTGCTTCAGGACTGTGAATAGCCTTTTCAGAAGAGGGAAGGACCATCAATTTCTTGGCTTTAATTCCATTCTAGTTATTAGTAGGAACCAAAGTCATCCCAGCTGGAAAACTGTTTACTTCTCAGCCCACCTGATGGCAAACAAGACAGACTCTATCCTTTATACTGTCCACTGAGTCGTGGCTCTAAAAGAAGGTCACCCCTACCCATTTTCAGTATCTTTTGCAAAAACTGTTACTCGTTTTCTGCTGACTGTGCACAACCATAGTTCCAGGTCCAAGTGGGTATAGTACCTACCGTCATTCCAGTCCAATCCCTAGTTTTTGTTATCAATAAGCAATGTATTCAGGGACTGGAAATCTGCTATTCCTCAGCATGGTAGAAATGTGTAAGGAAAACAGTTGCTAGCCCCGTTCTAGGCATTCAGTGAATTTCTGGGAGTATCTATTGATTAAGCTAACATAGCTTCTGAGGGTCACGTCATTTACACATCACCTGCTATCGCATATGTGGGAAAGGCAGCCTTGAAAGCATTATATATCTGTATATCAGGGGCATCATCCTTCATCTGGTTTTATGACCACAAATAATACAATTTTTCTACAGTAGGCTCATGCTTTTCCTCCCTTCTTCCACAACTGACTATTTCTTCCCCTCAAGCTGTTGCCTCTTTCCCTTCTGCCTTCCCAAGAATCTTGGAGAAAACAGTGTGCTGGGCTTTAATAACAAATCTTGGGATCGGGGTAGCCCAGCGCTGACTCTATGATGGCTCTCCACACAAAGTTGCAGTAATGGAAACTATCTGGTGATGATGGTGATGATACTTTTCACAGAAGTCTCACCCCCTTTGACATGCTGGTTATGCTATCCATATAGTTTGTCTTACATAGTCCTCAAAGCTACATGTCTTCACATTGTATAGAACCAGCCTTATTGAAATAGAGCTCTTAGCTCTGAACTGAACTGAGAAATTCAGTGTAAAATGTGTAAAAAGCTTATGGATATAAAGGAGAAGACATAGCCTCAAGGAGAATTAAGTTTATTTCTGCAGAAACTTTGTCAAATGTGGCCTAGGTCTGCAGTGAGAAGCTAAGCAGTAAGAAAAACTGGAACTCATGGGTATACATCAGAGGAGCATGGAGAAAGGGCAGTAGTGAGGTACCACCCAAACAGGACAACTATACCTACATATGAGGCTAAGAAATAAATGGGTTGAGATAGGGAAATATTTTCTTTCTCACAGAAGAGCTAGTTAGTATTGTGAACTTAAGTGAACGGTATCTTTGGATCATAGAGGATGGCAAAATAAATATTTGAGAGCTGCTTATCTTTAATCTCACGCAAACAAATGAAAGAGATCTGCTTTCCTTTTCTCAGGGCTGCAGACAGCAAAGGTTGTCATTGCTACCGTGAAATATTTTGCAGCGGATCTTAAAAAAATACGTAAATCAAACAGCTATCAACAAAATCTATACTTTGGCATATTCATTTGGGTTCTGCTTCTTGACCATAGGACTGGTTCTGGACGGTTTCTCCTGGGTATTCAAGAAAGGGGCATCTAGAGAATAGCCCATATATGAATCTCTTAAATGGCCCTTAGTTCAGCTTAGAAAAAGGCCTTTGCCTGGAGGCCTTGTCAAACCTAAGGGTTGAAGTATGACTTCTGGGATTTTCCTGGTGCTGTAGTAATTTTGTTTCTTATTTCAGGAGATCCGCACAACCACATTTCTTGGCAGGTTCCCATAAAAGTTGCAGATTTGACTTGCTGCCCCAAAAGGCTAGCTATGGACTTTTATAGAGCCAGATCACCTTACATTTTTTACTTGGATTTAACCTGGTTCTCCTTACCTATAACCAAAAGAGGGGAAAAAAAGGTTTTCTAAAGAAATATCCCAGGAGATACTATTGTATTGCTGCTGTGATATTTCCCAGTGGCAAAATTTGGCTCCTAGTCCTATTTCGTATTTATATTAAGAAGGACTGGCTCATTGGCCCAAATTACTGCCCTCAAGACACCTGAGGAATCACCTAAGAGATGGGTATGCTGCATCACACACATACGGGTTTCTTAGTACTAAATATGTGGAGTGGTTTGGTCTTGGTGTTTGCCAAAGGCCTGCACAATCATGTAAGGCAATGTGTTTTGTGGCCTGAGGATGATCTAGCTTGAGCCCAGCTCCTCTTTTTTGCAACCATATTGCCTGCGGACACAACGCTTCAGCACAAACTGGACTTTAAGCCTCAGTTTCACCTGTTCAGGCCAGCTGGTATATACCAAAACTGAACCAGTTAAGCAATGTGGAAAACAGGTGACTTAAAGACTGAGTTCAAGTCAAGACAGAATTATCATGAAATATTAATACAGACAGAAAATCAGAGAAGAAGTGGTGGTGTGGGTAGCACTGTAGTTGTGACAGACACATTCTTTATATTTATGCTTTGAATTATTATGTAAATAAGCATTTTTTCATCTGTTTGATTTGGTTGTGTATTTGATTTGGTATGTTACCAAAGACTGTATAAACTAAAATGCTGCCAATTACAGTTATAAAAAGTTGCAGCAGCATGAAAATATTAGTGCTTAGGAGATTTCATAACTGTCTGTTTCCCTTCCATAGCTATTTACTGCTGGAAAAATCACAGGCACCAGAGTAGCTGAGCTGAAGGGAAAGTACACCCTGCTGCATAAGACTGTGATAAGGTACAATATTCCTTTTTTAGACTTTGTTTAAGTAGCCAAAGCGTTACATATTTATAGTAATTTTCTGCTGATGCTGAAGCCTAATTATCATTTAAGGCTTTCTTATAGTGATTGCTCATAAAGAGGAAGCAAGAACACAAAGTTGAAAAACAATATTATTTAATAGAAAGTTTCAAGGTTATTAGAGATATTTAAATACTTGTTTGAACAACATCTTTGTTTTTAATATAAACATAATAATAATGGCAATGGAGGGAAGGACAAACTGCAAAATACAATATAAAAGTTTAAAATAAAGATATATTTGAAGATCACGTAGCCAGAATTGTAATATATGAAAAGACTCTGACCTGCTGAGCTAACGTCATAGAGAGCAACTATGAAGAAGCTAAAGGCTCATTTCTAAGAAGGAAAATGAGACTCTGTCACATCTAAATAGGTGTAAATTTTACCCTCAGAGAATATTGACAGTCACATTAGGCAGGACTGCTAATAAATTTAGAAGGTTAGAACCTTAAGCTTCAAAGTATAAGTGAAACTCGGAAGTTAGGTGTAGTAGTTGTGAGTCTGCCCTGCTCTGGTACTTGCTGGAGGAGAGAGAAGAGAAGAGATCATGCTCATAGCCCAATGCCAGGTTTGAGCAGGACACATGTGGGTGGAAGGAAAAGAAAATGGAGGGACGAAGTGGGACGAGATAGTACAGTTGTACTAGGTGAACAGTGTGTCACAGAGCAGAACAGTCCTATTGCAAATACTGCAATACTACATTAGTATTTGTGACTAATAGTTTTGATATTACTTACGGTATACCCATAATTATCAGTAAAATGAACGTCATGATACTCCTGTTATATTTCTGTAATACATATCATAATATCCACCATATTAACAATATTTTAGCCCAATTTCCCTGACAGTCCACATCAAAACCTTTATGGCAATTCTGCTTATAAGAGAACCATGGCTGATCTGTCACTGAAGCTAAGGCCTAATTTAAGGATTGTAAAACTAATTCAAGTCATACCTGCTTACTTGGGTTATGTTGGGATTTGGTGGGCCTCCTGGCAATCTGAATAGCGGTAAGTGCTAAGTAATGTAAAATAATTTGAAAAGGGGTTCCCAAAATCCTGAAAACACAGTTTTTCTTGAGGTTAGCTGAGTCTTCTAGTTTCATCTTAATAAAATGGGGAGTGAGTTAGAATATGTCCCTGACTCTGTAAAAAGTCATCTGACTTTATTCAGATTACTGCATAGCAAATATTTTTGGGAAGCAAAGTTAAAAACAGCACTCCTAAACCAGTTCAACTCCCTAGAAAATGCAAGAAGCATTTCCCTAATGCTCAGAACTCAAAATATTATGTGGGTTTTGGATTAGTTGATTGAGAAGGCTTCTACCACACTCATGTTCACTGAGCTGAAGTAGAAATCCAGTGGCTGCTGAACTTGATTGACTTTTAGCCACTGTTAGTTTGAAACCAGTCTTTGGTTGGAAAAAATACAAGCATATTACTACATATTTTATTTTATTTATATAGCATTCTTTTATATAGAACATTATTTTATGTAAAGACAATTCCTTTGTACGTATAATAAGTGGAATACGGCCTGAGCGAAAACAGGGCTCAGCTGTTTTTCTGTCACACATAAAACTACTGTAAACACCATGCACCAAAAGCATGAAAATGCTAGATGGTAGAGTACATCTCTCATTCTTTCCATGCTTCTCACAGGAGTATGAAATTGCCATACTTCTGTAAGAAAGTTGATCAGAGAGAATCATGTCACATTCTTTACTTAGATATAGTCATGTGTCAAAGCAAAACGCCAACAGGTGAACGAGTACTAATTCCCACGGATAAATTTCTCTTACTGCTAAAAGAAAGCAAGGGAAATCAATTGCCAAAAATTGATCGTGATCTCCAGTACGTTTTAAAGGACTTTTCGGACATCAAAGGTGGGATTCACTTGTCCGTATGTTAACATCAGTGGACATACACATCTGAACTAGGTATCTGGAGTCCCTTAACAGTCAATAGAAAGAAATAGGGACCACACGCTTCCTCCTTATACGGACACCTGCAAGTGTCTGGTTTTCTCTGTTGGCTATAAAGAGAGTCCTGATGATAGGTTCAGTATGTGTGTATACTCTTTTCCTGCAATGAACCATTCACAGAATCAATACCACTTTTTAATTTTTAGTTCTTCACCCTTACATGTGCAGTACAGTTCTGTGGATCAAGAACTTATTTTTTCACTAATTACACTTGAATTTAATCTCTTTCCCAATTAATCCCCATCTGTCCCAGTGCTGTTACAATGCCATGTGGAAACAAATGACGCTGGATGAGGTCTTCAGGCTGTATGTGTTCTTCTTTCCTTTATTCACACACAAAAATCTCAAGGAGAAAATCTTACACATCTTAAGCAGCATAGATCCTTGTGACAGCTATGCCAAATGATTGCAGCTGATCTCTCTGATATACAATACAAATTTGTCTAATATGATGAATGCGACTAGTCTGTATGCAGATAATTTCCAAGGCTGTTGCTAGAGTACACAGAGTTTTAAGTTTATAGTGTGGTCCTTTGTTTAGTGGTAAATAGTCCTTTATTTCTTGGTTTCAGTTTTGCACAATTTGGCATTCTGGAAAGCTAAGAGATGTCACCTGGCAGATAACATCTTTGATACATTTCTTCAAAGTGTTATGTGCTTTTAAATTTATGTTTGGTGCACAGCTGAAATTCTGGGAACAGGCTGTCATCCCGTTCTGGTGCTGTCTCACTCATCCACTTTGCAGTGTGGCTGCACCTAAAGCTGATGTACCTGAGCTCATATTTGGCCCCTGAAAACCCATTTGGTCACACAGTCATGTGGCCAAATTGTAATTTTTTATTTTTATTATCTCAATTTAGGAACCTAATATGAATATTCTGATACACCAAGCTGTAAGAAAGTCAGGTAATAATGATAGTTCATTGACAGTTTGGGAAACTCATCTTCTTAAGCCTATGTTAAATTATTAATCACTTCACAAATTCAAAAGATGCCACATCAGACTTGGCAAGCCTACTTTTGCACTCGTGATTCTAGATGTGTACACTGTGTAGATGTCCAGTTATTTCTTCATTGTCTTCAATTAAATTTAAATCTTCACATGAAAAAATACTGTTGGCAACTATAGTGAGCAAGATTTGGTCTAGATTCAACACTCAGTTCTTGTTTCTATTTTTATCTTTTTATTATCTTGAAAAAATCAATACTAGGAATTTTGTTTTTATGGAAGAACTTATGTTTTTATGTAATTTTATGTAAAATTTATGTTTTATGTAAGAATTATGTTTGAAATTAATGTGTATTACTGCAACCAATTATATTTACTCCTAAAACAGCATACATTCTGTTGGACTTAAAGAAGATCTAAATATTGTATAGGATCTTGTGTCGATAAGTCAATTTATTTTTCCCTTAAAAAGTTACTATGTAAATACATCACACATCAAGTTATTTGTTCGTGATAAAGGCACACTCTTGTTTCCTGTTAAGTCTGTGGTTTTCTTATTTTCTGCTTTAAAAAAGGAAGTGGTTATCTAAGTAGAAATGTTACACAAAACAAAACTTTTTCTGCTATATTATTTCAGCTATGTTTATGCAGTATAGTCAGATGTATATTTTGTATTTTTATAGTTACCATCTCAACTCTGTTCTCCATTGTGATACATAATTTTGTTTTTGTTGCTAAGCCATAAATGTCATCTTTGAGCTAAAATTGATGTCTAGAGTTTCTCAATATGGGAGATGCTAAATTCCTTTGTTTTAAAAAATATTAAATTGCACTACATTTTTAATAATAAAAGGCAAGTGATTGAGTTCTTTATTCTTCCACATCATTTGTGACCAATTTTAGTAAACCATTACACAAAAGTTATAGTGTAGTAATACTGAGAAGGCATACACAATGATTTCTATAGCATGAAGAACAGGTTTATATGTTGTGCATTGTATATGAACTTTCATACTGTAGTTCCCTTTAAGACTTTTCCATAATAATCAATGTATTTTACTAACAGCCTTTAAGATCTGTTATTCAGCTATCACCACACAGGTTCCTAAGCATATTATGAATTCCAGTCTCCTAACATCGACAGAATGTTACAGTTTGTTGTTTCTGTGAAGCTAGATTTCGGTGATACAAGTCAGATCAGATAATTGATCATGTCTACAAGCCTTATAATAAGCTTCCACAGAAGTCCATAACTGTATTTGCAGCTTGTGTATCATTAAATGATTACTTCACATACTGGTGACACTACAGCAATAGCAACATGCAGTTCAGCACTGGGTAGGTGTCCTGGTATGTACTAAGAACTTAAAGCTGTCGTATAGCCCAGACTGGGCCTTGTCCTGGTGAATACTTCCCTGTTAGTGGTCCCCACGTTGATTAAATCTAGCCTTCAACATTTCTTAGGATAAAATGGATTTCCTGCTTCTTTGCTGGTTCTAGGAGGTGCTAGATAAATAAATTAGACTAACTAACCATCTTTCATCTGGTTAAAATTAGATGAGATGAATCCCACTCCAGCTATCGGTATGCAGAAAAAAACCCTCGCATCAGATTCCACTGCTCTCATGGCATCGTAGGATAATTCAGGTTTGAACAGACCTCAGGAGGTCTCTGGTCCAACCTCCTGTTCAAGGCAGGGTCAATTAGGAGGTTAGACCAGATTATTCAGGTCTTAATCCTATCTCATCTTGAAAACCTTGAATTAAATATTATAAGTAGGTAAAGAAGTATAAATACAAAGCTTATGCTTCTCATTGCCTAGTTCTAAATTTTTCTATTTAATATAGTTTACAGGAATCTGAGATCCAGCTGTTGCAGGAAGCCAAACGTCTTAGTGTAGAACTGGAACAACAACAACATGAATTGGAAAAAGCAGAACAGTTCCCTGAAGAGTCCTCCAGTGAAGTTTCTCGAATAAGGCAACAACTTCTTAGTTGCCAAAATGAATACAATGTTATTAAAGAAAGAGAGTATGAAATTCAGTTCAAGATGGAATGGTAGGTGACAGTGGTCAAATGCTGCTAATTTTATCATAGCTTATCTAGAAAGATAATAACATAGAATATAATCCAATCTCCTCTCCGTCTAAAATGGACACATTTCTTGATGGCTGTTGTTAAACAAATTGCCACAAACTTTCCCTTTTTCAGTGATGAATAAAACTACCCTGGTGCGAGATTTGTAGATTACTTTAATTTTAGAACATGCTACAGTGTCCTTTGAAATGCTGTTTAAAATTTACTACATTGCATGATTAATGTTTAGGTAGGCAAAATTAACAGGAACAATTCTAGTCTAGGACACCTTTAATACAAATTATTGAAGTGTCTTGGAGACCTGGTGACTGGGATTTTCTGGAAACAATGTCATAAATAGACCCAATCCTATTTTTAACATCAGAAGCAGTTTATTCAAGTTCTTCTATTCAGATATTTAAAGGAGGAGAAGTACTTGTATATTCTCACGTCAGAAAAATGAGAAATTTGCTGTGAAAGATGTGAATACTTGCCATTTCTATAAAAGGAAAAAAGTCCAGAATAAGCTTGATCTTGTATATACTTTAATTATCTGCATATATGTGTATGTTGTACTTGAAGCTTTTATAGTAAAATTACAAACAGTACTATTGCATTTTTAAAAATATGTACCTATGGAAATGAACTCATATATTCATTTTGTGGAGTGCTTGCTATTTTTACCCATTTTCAATCCAGCTGTAGTGTAGTTGGTGTATATAAATCCAAATAAATAATGTCAGCAGCTCAGCAGTTAAAACTATTTTTCTGCAAGGAGAGCAAGGGCACTGTACAAACTGCATAGAGCAGATTTTTCTGGCAGTTCTTTCTTGCTTTTTTTTTTTAGAGCCAAATGTTTGCTCTAAGAGAGACAGAAACTTGAGAAAGAATCAAATTGGGAGTGGGAGAAATAAAGAAACATGGAAAGCATCTGGAAAAAATTATTTGCTATGAGATAACTAAGCAACGTGAAGTTTCCTGAAATAATTATTAAATACAGAATTTATTACAATTTCCAAGCAGCCCAGAAATAAGCTCTTCAAAATATCGTGCTTTTTACCCATTTGTCCTCATATCTTATGAACATTTTTCACTGATTTTGCATCACTTTTCCAAAAAATGATGGGTTTTTCTATGTTTAGGGGATATTTACTCACACTCTATTTTCTACCTCTAGTCAAAAGGAGATTTCTATCCTACACAAAATGCAGTTTAGGTATTGTTTCAATTACCCTTGCACATTTACTGCATTAATTCTTACATATGAATTGAATATCCTGTCTTGCAGATGAAAAATACACTTTTTGGGTCAGTCATACTGTGAAAAAAGTTCTTTCACTTTAATAAGAAACTTCCTCTGTTTGGTCTTATGTATTGCATGAGATCAAAACCAGCTGTACAGTCTGACCAGAGGTCCATATGGCACAGTATCTAATGGTGAGCAGAAGTGCAGCCCCTAGCCATTTGTGATGCAGGGATTTCATGAGCCAAGTGCAGTCCTCTGTATTTAGTAATCCTCAGTTGACCCCTCTTCCTTGAACTTCTCCTGTCTCCTCCTCAACTATATAAACTTCTGGCATTGCAACACCCTGGGCAACGAGTTCCACAGATTAACTACACAAGAACTGCCACCTCCTTTCTTTTTTGAACCTGACTCCTACCAGCTTTGTTTCATGCCCTGTACTTCTTGTATTGGATGAGACAGTGAACATCTCATCCTCTCTTCATTTTCACTGCTGCAGGATGGTTTGATAGATACCCCCCCCCTTAATTTGTCAACTTTCTAAACTGAAGAGTTACAGATTATTTAATTGTTCCTTGTCTGGAATCTGTTTCATGCCTGGTGCTGGCATTGGATCTTACGCATGTTGTGGGTGTGGAGTGAGGAGGATGTGCCTTGGTTATGTGTGGATTTGTTCATTGGGAGAGAAGATACTGCTTTCCAGAAATGAGAGGGATTTTAATGTTGGAGTAGTGTAGAATGAACAGGACTGGCAGAATACATATCTATGTGAGGAACGGATGAGTGAATGTAGTGAGGAAATGAGAAATGAGCTATGAAATACAACAGATAATGGATGTAAATACATGTTTGTAAAGGAGAGATGGGTTTGGTGCCTGTGGAAGGCAGTGAAAATGAATGTCCAGAATAGAGTTGTGAGCAGCATGTGATCTAATAGTAACACTGATGTAAAATGAAGATTATGTGCCTGATGGTTTTATACAAATAATAAAGCAATGTCTTCTGAAATAGCTGTGTGCATGGGCAGTGTCACAAACAGAGGGGATGCTGCATCAAAGATACTGTAGGTTTGCTGTTAGGTGACTGCTTGGTTTCCTTCATTTCTCAGAAGGTTAGAAACTCATGGTCCAAGCTCTCTTGGCCTTTGATCTCTCTGGAGCACAGTTTCCCTTGTTGTCCAACTGTGTTAATACAGTCCCAGCTGTGCTTGGCACTTACAAGTAAACTTCTCTTTGGGAATTATGACTAATGGCTGTTTAGTCTGAAAACAAACATATTGCTTATTTACCTTCTTATGTATAGCAGGCGGGGAACATGGAGGGGAAAAGCTTTTGAAGGGAATATCTGTGTCTCTTATCTATTGCTTTAGCCTTTTCTTAGAAGTCTTGGATCTTGTCTACTCAGGAATACTGCTGAGCTGGAAGTGAGAGAGAGCCTCTGCAGATCTTCTGCGTCCCTGTTTCTGTAAGCCTTTCTTTCTCTGAAGCATCTCTCTAGTCTCTGCTGCCTTTACTTCCTGCCTCAATTCACTTTCTCTGATAGCTAAGAGCGCTTAGCACCCTTTTTGCGCTTAGGTTCAAATCCAACAACAGTAAACTTTTTCTCTTGAAGATTCGTATAGATATTCCATAACATTAGCAAAGTTATTTTTTGTCTCAAGGTGCCTTAGTATTCTATGTTCTCTTTTCTGTATTTAATTTCCTATTTGCTTGCCTCTGTAAACAATTTTTTTTCCAGATCAGATACCTTTTTCAACAGCTGAAGGTGATATTTCATCTTCTGTTTTAATTCTTTATTGTCCCAATGAGTATTCAACATCCCAAGAGTAAATTTAAATTGCTTTCACCACTGTAGTATCAGCAGGTTTTCAGAAATTTTGTAACTTTTTTCATAGCTTGAATAGGTGCATGAGGTATTCAGAAGGATCTCTATGCACTTTAGCTGTCAGGGAAGTCACCCTGAGGGTGATTGCGTGGGTGTGGTGTACCCCCACTGTCTGTGTGTCCCTCCTCTTCTGGTTTGTATTTCTGTTCTGTTGTACGGTTGTACTGGGTTTGTTGCTAGTGTGTCTGCCTGTGTGCTCAGCACAGGAAGGGAACAACAGTTGGAAGGATTTTACTGAGGTTATAACATTTGGGTCACTGCCCCAAAGTCAGAACTGACCCCAGGAGTATTCTTCCTCTCAAAAACTATTAGGCAAGTGTAATAAAGTAAGAGGAAAAATAGTGATCTCAATTCAGTTGTGGTACAATTGCATTCAGAGCCGTGGAGTTTCTTCATATAACTGGGACTGAACATGCCTCAGTAAGTAAGAATATAGACCGAAAAATCAGATTAGCACAAGAACAAGGAAAGGATCAATGTGATCATCAAGGATTTGTTCTAGCTTGAGGAAACTTTTCATTTTAATGTCCATGTGAGGCTTAGAGTCCTGGTTTGTGAGACAAAATAAAGAAGAGCTGCTTTTCTTTATCAGACAATAGTATCAACAATAGTTTATTATTGAGAAATAATAAATTGGTCATGTAAATTAATTTATCATCTAAACTATATATGTAAAAGTAAGCAATTAATTTGAAATTAAATTTTCTATAGCAAGAGTTTGTGAGGTTAAAGGTGCCTGATTCTCGAAAACAATTTTCTTTTAAAGCCTAGGTCCAATCTACAGCCCTCACAGTCATTTGTGCAGGTAGCAAAATGGCTATTCACTGAAGTACTACATGCTATTGCAAGCAAGTCGGGATTGCAAAACTGAGTTTGTCCTTGTAGAAGCATTGCAAATATGGAAAATTATTTCAATGCTTGTAATTATTTCAGGATTAGTCACTCGATAATTAAAAAGTGAAAAGTTAAGCTTTTGACCATAGTTTTTCTAGTAAAGAATTACAAGTCGTAAGTAAAACAAATTGAGTTACACTTGAAGTTGTTATCAACTAGTCTTGTGACTGCATTCTCTGGTACATACAAACTAAGCACAGAGAAGAGCCTTACAGGAATCTCAGGCTGGCAGCTTGTCAGCTGTGATATCTTCTACTTTTGGTCACTAGATTTTAGTTGTGAGGTGCTGAACACCTTCTATGGATTCCTCAGCAACCCCAGCTATGTCTCAGAGTAGCTGAAGGAGTTTGCTTTCTTGCATAATGGGATTCATAATGATAACAACATTCCGGATATTTTGTGAGCTGAGGAACTGAAATGGACCTCTGTTGACAACTACCACTACATTTCTTAATCTCTCTGACTTAATTTTTTTATTTCTGTGTCAGTTTGCAGCTGTAGACATCTCTCAGGGAGAAGTCTGGAATGTATTTTCATTAATGGTCCAATTTTCCAAGTGCTTTTTTTTTAACTCATTAGATTTGCATCCATGATAGCTTTTCATGTACAGTACTGCTATTAAGCTTCATGTAAATAAGTAAAGCAATGTGAGAAACATTTGCAAACATTAATGCTTAAACTTAAGAGTTTCATCTTCTTTTCATTATGTATGTTGTTATAGGTATAATAATGATAATAATAAAAACTACATCATGTTGAAAAATACACTCATCAAAGGAGGGCTATAAAACAATGGGATTTATAAGTAAGTGCCTAATACCAGTTGCAGCTATTTTGTTTGTTGTTGTGATTGATGTCTAAGTATTTTATAGGCAGTCAGGAGGCTGATGTCCATATGTCACAGATTAAAAGATTCAAATGCTAAATGGAAAGGCCAGATTTTCTCTGCTTGCCTTACATTAAGCTTCTGTGTCCATATAGCTATTAAATTAGAGACTGAACTTAAAATCTTTGAAGAATCTTATTTGATTTCTTAATCTGAGTTAATCATCCTGGTCTCCCTTTACAGTCAATGGAGAGAAATATACTCTCTTGAACTGGTAATTTGTCTCTTCTTAAAATAGGTACCTGGGATGTCAGATGACCTGCCCTTTGGCGGTTCCTGTTTTTATCCCTGACAGTAAGGAAGCCTGGGGATGTTAGCACTGGGGTACCTGTCTAACTTTTGGAAATGGGCAGCTTGACCAAACTCATTGCTCAATTAACTTCTTTCTTTTACCCCCTTTTTCTTTTCACACCTTCACTATTTTTTCTGTGGAAGTAGTTGGTCTGCCAGCTCTTAAGGTAACTTAACTTGGTGCTTGCCGTTCAGTGTTGCCTTTGTTTGTCACAGAAAATGAGGTGTTCAAGTCGTTTTACAAGTCTTTGTTGTGAAACTGGAATGGCTCCACAGGCATCTGAACTCATGAGTGAGGAATGTGACAAAAGAAAAACAGTGTCAACTTTGCTCTCCCTCCTGATTTTTGGGATTGCTCTTTTGATTGTCTGGCATGATATTAAAGAGGGCACAGGGCAGACTGATGACGAGCAATGCAGTACCTCTTTAATGTTTGCACAGGACTTATTTAATCTGTTTTTGTGGCAGTCAAACAGTTATGGGTATTTGTGCAGTGCGGACATTCATTGTTAGTGTGATTATGCCAGTCCCAAGGAGTCCAACTAGGAATCCTGCCAAAATGTGCTGGGAATATGACTTGTCCTTATTAACTTATTTATATGTTTAGACAACTTGTTGGTAAGTGAAAATGTTTTGTTTGACCCGTGTGTCATTCCAACACAATATATTAGGACTCAGTTGTAGCTTATGGGCACAGTACACAGGAGCAGACCGAAGCTGCTATCATAGAATCAAAGTAGCGCAGTTTTCAATGCAGTTTATTCCCTGTGCTGTCCCTCATTGACTTTAAACAATGGAAGATAAAAGGAGTAGTTCCTGACCCCCACTGTGGCAAAGAAGAAATCACCTTATCGTGTTTCCTTCTACTCAGATGTACTTGTACTGTACACCTGCAAAATACTCCTGTGTCTGTCTTCACTCTTCTGTGCAATTTCTTAAGTTATAATAGATTTTGCAATATAACTTTTTTTAATAATTCATTTTATCAGTTTTTGAGGAAGACTGGTCTAAATTCAGCTTTTTTCTTCGAAAGATTTTTTGTACACTCATTCACTTTGTGGGTGTTCAAACACTCTGGCATTCAAATTATTTTTTAGACTTACCAGTCCCCACAGAGGCATACTTGTAGTCTGCCCATACAAATATACATACATGCTGTAAATCAGCATCTACTCTGTGCCTTTATTTTGTCTTTGCTGTTCATCTGAACCAGAGCTTGTTCTTCATGATTTTTTTTTTTTGGATTGCAACACCACCAAACCAGTTCTCTTTTTTGACTGTTTTCTTTCCTTGACTGGAAAGATGTCGCCTTAGGCTTCCAGGTATAAGCTTTGCTCCTTTTGTTGGAGGACCAGAACACAAGAAACAATTTATTGGGGTGGGAAGAACCTTAAATCGGCACTGATAAAGAATTGAGCACAAGATCCTAGGGAGGATCCTCCATGAGGCTGGCTGCTAGGAGACTGATCTCTCTCCCGATGACCACCACCTTCTGAAACCTGAACCACCACCATGCAAAGTCTTAGGCTGCCACTGAAAGGTTTTGGAGAAAAAAAGAAATACCAGTCAGCTGTCTCTCTTCTGTATCAACCACATTCAGAGGCAACTGTAGTAGTTGCTTTGGGTAGGTGGGGCTGCCCCAGGACTCCCTTGCCATAGTTTAAAGCCCTAAGTGACACAGTTATTTCATGAAAGCCTGTCCCCTTCTGTTAATACTCCCCTTATTTAAAGGTTATTTATTCTAACAAACTGCCCTGGGTCTTGAGGAAGCCGGCTCAGCACATCTTCCAGCTGGAGTTACAAACACAAATTTAAGTGCTGAAGTTGATTCTTTGCTATATCTGGGACAGAGGATTTGGCTGTTCCACCTATTCCCCAGCTGCCATCTTTACTCCTTTATAGCCTGAGACTCAGAAATGTCATCATGGGTACTAATTACATTGCAAGAACCTGCCTCCTTGTTCCCAATAAATAGAACGAGGACTTAATTAAGTTCAGTTTGGTTGGGACAGCATGCAGACTGCTGTAGCCCATTTACCTCCTATGGGTGCAGAATTGTTCCATGCATGCACTGGGGATGTATTGATGTATTTCTTCACTAGGGCTAATTTTTTATATTTGGCAGTATTTACCTGCCCGCCACCAAGAAGCTCTCTATTGTAAATCTGAGAAGCTTGTTCATTCAGCTTCACTTTTGTAGTCACTCCACCTTTCTCAGGGCAACATTACTAAAAATACACCCAGAAGATTTAAGAGCTTTCCTATTTTTTCCTTTCCTCCTTCTTCCCTCCTTCAGCATCTGTCTCTCTTGTCTGAAATTAAATTGCAACATAGTTTTGGATATAGGTTAAGATCACCATGGCTATTCAATTTAGTTTTCTACTGTACCCCATTGACTTAGTCTACATCCCCTGTCACTTTTCAGGATTTTTTTTCACAGGAGCCTGTTCAGATTTGAGGAGCTTCACTTACAGTTGTTTACAGTGTGAATGTGTGCATGAGCACTCACTCAAAGGACGAAGAAAGTTTCTCACTAGCAACTGCACTTTCTTTGATGTGTGATGTGTCTGTGGATATTTATAACCCACCTTCTCTTTCCTTTTGCCTCAGTTCCATGTTAAAATTTTGTTTTCTGAGGTTGGGAGGAACTATGGGTGTAGGGTACCGTCTGACCTGTTATACTCTGCTAGTATAAAGACAAGGGTGAATGAGGCATAAATGCATCCCTGCAGGAGGTGGTAAGACTAAGAAGAATCAGGTTCAAAAGTTGAGATGTGTGCACTGCAGAAAAAAACTGCATGTGTATGACCTGTCTTTCAGGACTTCCAGCTACCAGTCAGCAACCTTCCTTTAAATCTGGACACCTTTCAATTGTCCCTGATGATAATTCACCATACATTTTAGTCTAACACAAGATAGGCTTCCATGCTTTTTTACTATTTACTATATTATAGTAATATTTATTATATTACTAATATATTTAGATTTGTTTTGATTTTCCTGTAGTTTGCAAGAAGAAAAAAGGCTTCTGGAAAATGAATATGAAAGAATTCCAAAACAAAGGGTAAGTATGAAACATGAGAAAAGCCATGTTTTATTTTCTGTCAGCTAACATACAAAAACATCAATGAAAATATTTTCACAGCGTGCAGCTCTAGAGTTTATTTAAAATCTGGAATACTTAGAAAAATCAAGAGGTAGATTTTATAGGAGAGGCTATTTTTTATCATTCAGGTTTGATAACTCTAGGGCAAGCAACAAATAACTGATTCAGAAAAGATCTGGATTTTCTCGAGTTTACTCAAGAAAATTTTTTACTGCAAATGGATACTGCATGTAAAGGTACCTCCAGGTTTTTGGTTCTAGGATGTGAGTATGGAAAAAACATTTGCAGTCATAAATCCTGATGAATATATGTGGTTTTGTTGGAAATAAAATTCTGCTGGTTATCGATAGAAGAAACAAACATCTGGTAAAAAATTATATTTCATACCCTGTTGTAAAAAATGTTATCATCATTCAATGTTAATGATGCTGTAATATCACAAGATTGCAAAATGCTAATCTTATCTTTTACTTCATTTTTAAAGGAAGCAGATAAGAAAATTAAACAGTTGAAAGAAAATTGTGATGAGCTCTGCAAAGAACTAATCCAAAGGAAAGCAGAAATTAATGCAATAAAGGAAGATGTTTCATCCAAGCAAAAGCTGATGTTAATAGATAAGAAAGAAATTGAAAAACTTCTGGAGAAGCAGGCTAATTTAAAAGTAACACAAAATTAATTGTCTTTATGTATGTGTGCGTGTGTGTGTGCACATGTATGTGTATATGGGTACATGCTTTGTCCGAGGAAACAGGGAATCTTCTGGATGTTGTTTGTCATTCCAAATTCACTAGATGGCATTACATTATATGTTACATCATTTTTCAATATGAAAACATGCTGCTGTGCCATATCCATTATTACTTCTTTAGGAAATAACAATAGTCATGGTTTTGATTAAAAAATGGTTTCTATAATGACATGTTTGCTATGTTGTGTTATTGTAGGCTGCTCTAACATATGCTCAGGTCCAAGTTAGTACAGATTTATGCTGAGAATTAAAAAACATACCCAGGTCTTTGCCGCTTTCCTTTCCGTGGTATAGATAACATAATCAGTTGTATTAATAATACTCAAGCGTAATTTTTATCTTGCAGACATAACGAAATGGTAAATATCAATGTTTAGTTTCGAAAGTAGCAGCTACAATTCCCTGGGACAAGCTCAAGTAATTTAAAAATATGTTTCCTGCCCATTTTCACAGCAGTTCTAGGTGGATATTACTTATATGAAATCTCACCAGATTTTGAGGCTATGAATCTAACCTTTCTGTTTTGTCACTAGGATGAGCTAGTTAAGATCCTTGGTGTTCCAGCACAACTTGGAAAAGAAACTGAGAAGGTGAATCGGAAAAAAATGTATGCTTTTAATAAATAATTATTTTTTAATATATCTAAATATAACTTATTTTCATCCATTTGTTACAGAGGCAGTTGAGTATAGCTGTTGATTAAAATTAGGATAAACATTTAAAAAAGCATCTATAATCCACTTAAAATCCATGCACTGTACTGAAAAATATAGTAAATGCAGTGAAACATTGTAAATTTAAATACAACAAAGAAAAATTTAGAACAAAGCTTGGTCAAAAATTGCTTAACCATCTTATTGTGCTGCGTTACTATATATCAGATCTACTTAGTAGGTTTTTAATGGAAAATAATGTTACTGTGTAATCTAGTGATTAGGCTTTTTTACAGTTTCTAGTCCTCAGTGACTGTTTATTAACTTATCTCTATTGGCTTCAGTGAAACTAGCAGCTTTCACAGCTAACAGTCTGGCCTGAGATAAATAATCATTCTCCCTTGATACTTGTGTACCAGTTTTTTGGTCAGAGGTGCTTTGCTGTAAGCTCCTGATGTAAATTCTGGTCTCTAATATTTCAACTGGGAAAATGTAAGCGAGTACCCAGCCTTTTCTTTCTCTGTTTTGCGTAGTTGGGTTTTTTTCTCCCCTGAAGCACGACGTGCTGCTTTCTGTATGTGTAAAATCTAATTAGCACTGTGCAGTTTCAGCCAGGTCACTCACAGATCCAAATGCCTTCCAGATGAACAATGTTTTTTGTACCCTATTCAGGCACAGGGTTACACTGAAGTTTCTGTGTCTCCTGCTTGCAGTCCCTATTTGTAATACAGAAATTCATAGAATCATAGAATCATTAAGGTTGGAAAAGACCTCTAAGATCATTGAGTCCAACCATCAACCCAACACTACCATGCCCACTAAACCATGTCCCTAAGCGCCTCATCTACACGTCTTTTAAATACTTCCAGGGATGGGGACTCAACCACTTCCCTGGGCAGCCTGTTCCAATGTTTCACCACTCTTTCAGTAAAGAAATTTTTCCTCGCGTCCAATCTAAACCTCCCCTGGTGCAACTTGAGGCCATTTCCTCTCGTCCTATTGCTTGTTACTTGGGAGAAGAGACCGACCCCCACCTCGCTACAACCTCCTTTCAGGGAGTAGCGATGAGGTCTCCCCTCAGCCTCCTTTTCTCCAGGCTAAACAGTCCCAGTTCCCTCAGCCGCTCCTCATAAGACTTGTGCTCCAGACCCTTCACCAGCCTCGTTGCCCTTCTCTGGACACGCTCCAGCACTTCAACGTCCTTCTTGTAGTGAGGGGCCCAAAACTCAACACAGTATTCGAGGTGCGGCCTCACCAGTGCCGAGTACAGGGACACGATCACTTCCCTACTCCTGCTGGCCACACTATTTCTGATACAGGCCAGGATGCCATTGGCCTTCTTGGCCGCCTGGGCACACTGCCGGCTCATGTTCAGCTGGCTGTCAACCAGCACCCCCAGGTCCTTTTCCGACAGGCAAATTGTTTGACTATGTTAAATTTCTCAGTTTTAAAACTTGTGTAATGGTTGTCTTCTACATTTTCCTCACTACTCTGCTTAATGCAACTCTGCTATCATAAATATAAGAAGTTTTTCTTATAGTGTTAGAGAGAAGCAATTTTAAAAAGCTAGTACATTGTGTAGATTGTTATTAATGAAGCATTTAAATGAGTCTTTCTACTTGTGTTGCATCACAGAATGAACTAACTAGAGTTTCCAGCCTTGGGAATAATATTTAGAAGTGTCACATCCATGTACCGAGTAATTTTGACAGAAATCAGTTTACTAGAAGTCTTTTTAATACTTTCATGGTGCTAAGCTCCCTGTTAGTCTCATGGCCATCTTCAATTTTATTGTTGAACTGTATTGGCATTTGAAGATTTTCACTGTATGTAGCCTGCTTTCAAACATATAATGTAGATAGTTGTGGTGTTGAAATGATTTTGTGTGTCCATGAAAACTGGCAACTTACATTTTGCCATTTAAATATGCGTGTGGAAATGTGAACCCCTACTGTTTTGTTAAAATATATCCACAGTGATGCAGAGAAGAAGAAAGAAGCCCTTAATAACCAAATAAAAGAGTTGAACGGTACCCTGAAAGCCATCGAAAAAAGGACTGAAGAGATTTTGCAAGAAAGAGAAGACATAATGAAGGAATTGGATGGGAAGCAAATTTTGCTAGAAAGCAAAGAACGAGAATGCATTACTTTGACAAAATTACTAGAAATTAGCAGAGAGAAGGAATCAGCAGTCCTATCAGACAGGTTAGAGTAGTAGACGTAATATGAGTGAACAATTCTCTGTTCTCATAGATCTATTTCTTTTTTCTGCTGTATTGCTTATGTTTTCAAGTTTTATGCTGCAACCAGTGCGGACCAGAAATTATCAGGCTTGCTTCTGACTTCAGAAAAGTTTATATAAACTACTGGAATCTAGGATCTGGCTTGAAGAAGAACATCAAAAAGCATAAGCATTTGATAAAATCCTGGGAGAGTGAAACTGGATTTTGCTCTGAAAGGGAAATCTTTTAGAGGGTTTCTCTCTCCAGTGTAAATATTTTTTTTCAGTGTAACCCACAGAAAGTAAACTGGGCAAGAAAAAAAAATGTCAGTATTTTCATTTTCAAATGAGGATCATAGATTTCTGCACCCACGTCCTCCTGAGTTTCAGTGGGGACTGGTTACTTATCTCTTTAATATTCCCTTGAATTATGAGCTTATATATACCTGGTAAAGTAAAATAAACTGTTAGGTTGATTGCAAGCTTCAAATGATTCCTTCTTTGCAGAGGAAGATGTGTAGTTGTAATCATGGCCATACGCTCAGCAACAATGCTTTTGCCTTTGAAGTTTTGTATTAAAGGATAGTGGCACTTTAAATAGAAATGTTTGAGTGAAGTGAACATGTAAATATTCCCTCATACTAGAAAATGTGTTTTCTTCTTCTTGTAAGTAATAGTTTCTCTGCAATTTTTAGCACATCTAGAACAGACTGTGAGACCTCATTGACATCATTAGGAATGTTATCATTTATTAAAGTTATAAAAGTTACCTTTTAAGTAATTTGTGTCAGTAGTTTATGAGTTTATCTTGCCGCTCAGCCATAATGATGCAGTACTCAAAACCCGTTAAAATGATCATGTCTGTTTGCATACACGTCTTGGTCAAGTTACCTGTTTCTAAAATTCTGTGTCTGTCTATATAGAGAAGCTCTGGAAGATAATTTAATTAAATGTGTCTTGGAGAAAAAAAAGCAACATGATATTCTCATTCACAAGCAAACACAGAAAGATAGACAACTGAGAAATTTAAAAAAGATGGAGTTACAGCTGAATATGATTTATGATTCCTTGGAACAAGATAAGTCACAGCATAACAGACTCAAATTAGAGGTCTGTATGAATACATTGATCATAAGGATTCTAAATTTTCTTGTAAGAAATCTGTGTTTGAAATCTTTTGACTGGTCCTAAAAGGGGGAAGGGGACAAAAGTGTCAACAATGCTACAACTAACAAAGAAACTTCTAGGTGCTCTGGCTGTACTAAAATACTGCATCAAGATATATTTGGGCTATTCTTAAGAAATGGGTTTTAGGATGGGAGCATCCTATCAAGGAGAACTATCAAGGGACATTATATTGACACTGTGGCTTCATGTCTTCCTGTAAAGCACTGTGGGATTATGGTCATTTTATGAGTGAAATAATATAGCGACTTGCCCATTGGCATCAAAGAAATTTGTAGCAGACAGATAGAGCCAAGTACTGCCTGACTCCCAGATGATCATACATCTTTTTAAAATTTGAAGGTTGTTTGTACATTACTGTAAACAATTTATAATGTATTTAACATTATTCCAGGGGACAGGAAACTAGCACTATATAAAGTTTGGTATTAAATGGTACGACATAATTCCCTATGTTCTCTTCCTTTCCACTCAAATTGCACCTTCCTCATTTCCTCCCTGCATTAGTATTTCACCCATTCATCTTTCCGTACTGATTTACTCTTTTCTGTTTTATTTCTGCCTTCTACTATGCTGATTTTAAAGGGCAGTCTCATTCTGCTTGTCTATTCAAAACATTTCCTTTCTTTTCTCCTTCCAAATATTTCTTAACAATTTACTTTGTCTATCACTTTTTCATATTCTCTTCATCTCATTGCTGGTTCTTCCATTCTCTCTTTCTTAAGCTTTTCTCCTATACTAGCTCCTTGCTTAGTCTAAATTGTAAGTCAGTCTTATGAAATTAATTTTGCTTAGTCAGGTGAATATTTTTTCACAGGAGAATATCCATTATCTGAGTTAAAAGCATAAGGACTTGATGTTTCCTACCTAGATACACAGAGTCATTGGCATTTTTCTTGGTCCTTCTAAGCAATTCAGGGCAGAAAAAGTGTCTTATTTACGTTACTGTAAAGTTTTTAAAAATAACTATATGATATCAAACCCCACACATACTTAGCTTTACTATTTAAACAACTCTAAACATTACTCAATAATATTTAATATTATTAAGTAATAGAAATTTTTTTCTGTCTCTTCTGAAATTTCTCCTGAATTCACATGTGTATTAATTACCTAGTAATATAAGCCCACTTGGGAGGAGGGAGGAAAGCTCTACAACTACACAAAAAAAGTTTTAGGTTGAATTTCCTGAAATATTGATTAAAGGACTGACTCATATTCCAGACTTTGATCTTAAAGCTCATACTGACTTTCTGTTCAGTATCAGCTAAGAGAATCTGGGAAAGAGTATTTTTTTCCTGTGTTCCTACTGAAGAAATATTCCTCATGGGAGACTCACAATAGTTCAAAAACATAAAATGCTAAAATCAAATGCCATAACTCACCGACAGCTGTGGTTAGAGTTCACTGTCTTGGGTGAGATCCAAATCCAACCCAACCCAACCCCTTTACACTGTGTGAAAGGGCAATAGACCTGTAATAAGACCCTTAAAGGTTAAGTTGCACTGCAAAGGGTTCCCTCAGTGCTAACGCTAGATTATCCTATAGGTTTGTATGTGTCTTGCAAGTAGCACCATTGTGAGGCGTGGGGGAAAGGGAATGCCAGCAGAGATAGAAGTGAAACTCTACGCAGTATTTTACTCCAGAAGTTGCAGGGTGCTACCCTAACGCAAACAGGCCATGGCAATATAGTTGGTTTAGCCCATCCTCCCATACTCTGCATTTTCTCTGATTCCTTTCTTGGCTCTTTTAGAAGAGCAAATGTGAAATCACCACTCCTCTGCAGCATGGTCAGTTCAAATGCAGTACTGGAGTACAAAAGACTAGAGTGGCAAGCTTGATTCTGCTTGGCTTTTGCTGCCTTGAGACTATTTTAATTTGGAAGTCTTAGGAGCACACCTAAGAAGAGTTAAAATATTTTAAGTAGTTAAAGTTCCTCTAACTACTTAAAAAGCCAGATTCATATTTATTCAGTGTGATTCCAAGTGAAAAAAAAAAATCACAAGAATTAATTGCTAGTATAAAAATGTGGTTGCAGAAGCAGCAGTACATCAGTGTGCTTCCCCAAATTTCTCTTACTTTAAATCATGTGCTAAGTGCAGAATACTGGTTTGTAGAATAGGGAAATTACAGGAACACTTCCTTCAAATCTGTTTTTCTCCTTGTAAATTGTGAAAGGTCAGCTATTGCTAAACGCCGACATTCTGTGTGAAAGAGAACTGGCCGCTCCTGCTATCACCAGCCCAGAGCAGAACTGCTGTTCCTCTCCATGCATGCCTTCTCTTCGGTCAGGCCACCACAGAGACAGCCAAAAGTGCCTAAGTTTAGTCATGTCTTATGTGAACAAAAGTCCTTAATGGATTAGAGATGTTTATATGAGCTTTTTACTTTTAGACTCAAGAACTTGATGGCACCTTTAGAATCCCATGTTGAAAATGTGGAAATGCCTGCTTACAGCCACTATAGCCTTTTACACAGCAGAAGTGGTAACTAATGTATGCTCCACAGAAAGGCCATGTTTGCTCCTTCTAGAAGAGTGAAAGCAGCTTGCTTAGACTAGGCTTTATTGGCCTTTTAGCAAATCTAAGTCAAACCAAATCTGTCTCAGAGTTGGCAGCTGAAACCAAAGTAACTCCAAGGGTTGCTCTTTACTGTGCCTCTTATTTCCCCTCCCCTTAATGCAAATAAACAGCATCTAATTTTATAATATTATCACAGAAGTTGTCATGGTTCAACCCCAGCTGGCAACTAAGCACCACACAGCTGCTCGCTCACTCCACCCGCCCAGTGGGACAGGGGAGAGAATCGGAAAAGTAAAAGTGAGAAAACTCGTGGGTTGAGATAAAGACAGTTTAATAGGTAAAGCAAAAGCCACGCACACAAGCAAAGCAAAACAAGGCATTCATTCACGCCTTCCCACCAGCAGGCAGGTGTTCAGCCATCTCCAGGAAAGCAGGGCTCCATCACGCGTAACGGTGACTTGGGAAGACAAACACCATCACTTCGAACATCACCACCCTTCTTTTTCTTCCCCCAGCTTTATATGCTGAGCATTATGTCATATGGTATGGAATATCCCTTTGGTCAGCTGGGTTCAGCTGTCCCAGCTGTGTCTCCTCCCAACTTCTTGTGCACCCCCAGCCTACTCGCTGGTGGGGTGGTATGAGAAGCGGAAAAGACCTTGACTGTGTGTAAGCACTGCTCAGCAATAACGAAAACATCCCTGTATTATCAAAACACTGTTTAGCACAAATCCAAAACATAGCCCCATACTAGCTACTATGAAGAAAATTCACTCTATCCCAGCCAAAACCAGCACAGAAGTGAAAACCATAAGTGCAAAACATCTCATTATCTGTGTTGAGGTATAGTGTTTTGAACTCTAACATCTGGTTGAGATCTGAGAAAGATACCACGAGGTTGCATGTATTACCTTTGAATAGCTTCCAGATGTATCGTTCAGTGTCATTTTTTCCCCACCTGTATGAATTGCAGATTTACAATTACGGACAGGCAACATATGCCTGCATGGTTAGCCTGCTGTATTTATTTCTTACTTACTTATAACCGTAAAGAATTTTTAAGTGAAGTTAGTCACTGTGAGGCCAATACAACCTTTTGCCTTATGAGTTATATCACGCAAGTAGTTGTAGTGGGTTTGTTCAGATATATTTTAATCAGAAAGTAGTTTCTAATGTGTCTTCCTTCACACACTTCATTTTAAAATCTGACTGAATAAACAAATTTTCCCATAATGTACAAGAAAAAATAATACATAACTGTGTTGTTAGTTTTGACTTTCTAGAGCCTAAGGAGGAAAAATCTTACTTTAATAACTAAAAGCAAAAACTATGATATCAAATCTACACAGCTGTGAAATATTGACCCTATTAAAATCAGTGGTAAATCTATTTCTTCCTTCAGTAAGATCAGAATTTAACTCAGAAAATCTTCTGTGAACTTAGAAGGTGACATCTTTGCACAGTCGCTCTTTGTGATTATTTTTTTTAATGGCGGTTTAGTTGCTGAAAAAAATAACCCTTATAAATTCAGTACTTAAACTGGGCTTTGTGAAGTTTAGTGTTTATAGTTACATTCTTAAAAGAAAAATTTGATAAACTTGGATATGTTGCTGAGGAAGTCTACTCAAGTAAGATCTCTTGGACTAGCTGTTGTAACAAGACAGAAAATTCATTTCTTAATGTGTGTAACTACTGCAAACAGATTATCTGCAGTTTACATTTTTCACATCTTTTGTTTGCGTTACTTGTGCTTGGTTTATTTTTGTAGGCAGAAGCCATCCCTAAAAGTAATGGAGTATTATTAAACAGGCGACGAGAACTGCAGAAGGAAATTGAAATGACCAAGAGAAGTTTAGCTGAACAGGTGCTGAGTTCTGCTTTCTCATACTTTTTCACTATAACAGTTGGTTTTCAATCATGAGAATAAAGGGACTGTTTGAAGAAAAAATGATGGGAGTTTCTAGTTGCAGCTTTCTGGTGAGAAAACGTGATAGTATTTGTGCAATTTTAAAGACCACTTGTTTGTCACATTTAAAAAACAGTTTTTGGTGTTACTGGTCACATATTGGAAGGCAGAAAGCAAATCTACTTTCTAGATTAAGTCTTTATGAGTATCATTAACTACATTTCAGCTAGAAATATGATGGGTATAAATTTCCTTTGGATATGGCACAGTGTCTTGTTGAAACAAGGACGATTCAGCATTTGTATATTATAATTTGTCATCTTCATGGTTTTGTCATTTGTGGATGTCTGTCTGTACTCAGCACAGCCATCTATAGTGCTGAAATGCAGATGTCTCAATTATGAGAGTATTAGTACTTGCCACTACATAAATGACTTTAGAAGCAGCAATATATTTCAGACATACCTTCTTAAGATCATACCTCCTTGTCTTCTTACCCTTATATCCATTTTCTTTTTGTGCTGTCTTTGAATTTGGTAGCATTATCAGGTGGGATTCAGCTTGTGTTTGAATACATACACATTCAGCATCTACATGTCACTACTTATGTATGGGATATGTATCTAATGTGCCACAGTAGACAGTAACAATCTAGTCATGCAGTCAGTGGAGCCTAGGAAGCCATCCATTCACCTCCTCCTAAAGAAGTTAGCCTACACTGGGTAAAACAAATAGCTCTTTAGAGTTCACTGACTGTATTGACTGAATCTCCAACAACTCTAGGCATCTAGATACTTTGCTCTGCATTAAATATCTAAATTTGGTCTCTTAATGTGAAAGCTCAGTGTCTTCCATTGTGTAGAATGGACATGTCAAGACCTGACAATAAAGTTATTTAAAGATTATGTGGCCATAAGGAACCATTCTGCCCAGTGGGCAATAGCTGAAAGACATACTAGACTGAGGAACAGAAATGCTTCTAGGTGATAAAATATTTTGACATGTTATTATAGGGATTGTGCGTGCTGTTTCAGCTGGTATTTTAAAGCAATATTTTATTTTTTTTAAAATCCATGTAGTATGTATATATATATACTTTGCAGATAAACACAAAGTATTTCCAGCTTTGGGTTTGCCAACACTGATGCATCGATGCATAAGGAATTGAATTTAATTTTCTTTAGGAAATGATGTCAGGTATGGATGGCCACATGTTAGAGGAATGTATTGCTGAAGAAGGCCGGCTTTTCAAAGAGCAGGAAAAATGCAGAGATGAGTTATCCAGACTTGCACATCTGACTTGGCTCAAAGCTGAAGAGAGGGAACAGAAATCTAGGGATGTGCAGAAAACCCAGGTAAAAAATTATCTCATTTAATTGGAAGACTCTTCTAAAGTCAAAGCTGGTATATGGAGAAATTAAATTACTAGTGAGGAGAGCCTTATGGACTCTCATTTCCCACTTTACTTCCATCACAGCACAGGAAGCTCACGATACTGTGTTGTTTTATTGGCAATTTATGCTGCAGTGCAATAGTGTATTAAAATATCATGCCACAATTGAAACAAGTTATTTGAAAGGACATTTTCTTTCAAGCCTATGAAATAAAGAGGCAGAAAAGCAGATAGCCTCAACTGAGATTCTTGGAAGTACAACTATGTGTTTTATTTTACACATATATGGATATTAAAAGATAAACGGAACTGCTACTCACTCCAAGGAGAGGCAGCAATTTTTATTTTCCTGACACATTTCCAGGTGTAAATTGTTATATTAATGTGAAGAAAGATGGAAAGAAAACTTTTCCTACGGTCGCAGAAACTAGGACTATTCATTGGGTTTGCTGCCTGCAGTTTGCTGGCATTATAATATCATATATGTGCTGTGATGTTGCACAGTTCATACTAACTACTGCATTTGTATATGGGAACTAACTTTATGCTTCCACAATGTATGTCTGTATTCAAATAAATTATATAAGCTACCCTTCTAGCACTTTGAGGATCTTTGTCTGTCTATAAAAATAGAGTAAACAAACATGTCAGGCTTTGCACCTTCAATAAAAATCAGTCCATAAACAGATCAAAAAAAATAAACAGTACAAAGTAATGAACGCACACACATGCCCAGAGTTGCAACCCAACATCCACCAGCTTTTTTAATACCAATCTCCTCCTCCTGGTACCAGTGGGAGGCGAGAAAAGGCCTGTCCATTGAAGGGTAATGACACAGGCTATTAAAGACTGAACACAACTGAAATCAAAAGGTCCAGAGCTGTAACAAAATTCTACTCAAGCATCAGTGATTGCTTAAAAGCCAGAAAAGAATAAAAAAGAAATTTTATTTGAAAAGGTACAATTTCAGTGGCGCATATGCCAAATAATTAGGTAGTGATGGAACTGAGAGGCTGATTAATAGAAACAGTAGAACTCCAGCTACAAGGGAACAAGCGTTTTAAGATGCAGCATCAAATTATCTACATTAATAACAGTCATTGTAAGCTTAATATACATAGAAAGACTGTGTTCTTTAATGTTGTTACAGTAAAAGCATTTCATTATAATTAGAATAAGTTCTTAGAATAATCTTGCCTTGCTGTCTTTTCCTCGTCTAAGAAGAATAGCTGTTCTGAATCATTTCTTTGAAGATATTTCTTTGATGTGTCTAAAATGCTCATGAATTCTATTTAAATTTCAGATACAACTCCAAAATATTATTAAAGAAATAAAAAGAAAGGATCTTGAAATAAGAGAGTATAAGAAGAGGAAAAGAGAAATCCAAAAACAGTAAGAAAATAATACTAACAATACATTAGCTAAAAAATGTCTTTTAAAGCAATTTTTATCCAAGTAATGTATGCATAAAATTATAATAATTATTTCTTTCACACTTGTCATTTCTTCAGACTCCAAGGATTTGCTAAAATGTATGATGTTATCCAAAATGAAAGGAATAAATGTGTAAATTTGGTGCACGCTGCTCAGCAGAAAGCAGGTGAAATTAAAAACCGGGTGAAATTGCTAGGAAATGAAATAGAAAAGTTAAGGAATACTGTTATAACCAAGGAAAGGTGAGTTTTAAGTAAGCTGTAGATCACAATTATAGAAATGTAAGATTAGAAAGAATCTTAAGAGATAATCTAGTCCAACTTCAGCTATGCCTATATCATCCTTGATAGTTATTATCCTGATTTTTAAAACCTGATTCAAAGACATTTAGCAACACCCGTACATAATCTGCTCCAATTTCTCCTCACCCTAACACTTCACAATTAGCTTGAGCATCACTGCATGGCACAAAGCTTTTTTGAAGTTTGTCTGGCTATTCTCTCACTTTCCTGTCCTTTGAAGGGATAAATTGTCATTGCATTTCCTTTGTTTCACAGTTCTGGAGCCTCTAGTATCTGCATTATCATGCTATTTCACTCAATATGAACAACACTGATGTACTCACACTTGCTTATCTTTAGACAAAAAGGTCCGATACATATGTGATTCCATAATAGACTGGTGCATAGTACTATTAAATGAGTCACTAGCTAGTAATGCGGCTGTCTAATTATTAAATTAGAACAAACTGGGTTTCTTGCTTCAAAATCAAATTGAAGTTTATTGGATAACGTTTATTTCAGATAAACAAAACATGGTTTCAATTTCCAGGCGATCCTAGTCAAATGAAAGGTTACAGTCACAACAAAGAGGATGAGGCAGACAGTGGGTGCATGTGACTATTTTTTCCTAGACCATTATTTAGTGGAGATGTCTTCTTGCCATCTTTTTGTCAGCCTAGTGATGATATTCTGCAATATAGACAGAACAACATCTCTGAAATCGGTAACTGGGAAAGTAGGAAGCTACTGAATAGTTAACTGTGTATGCAAAACAGCACAGCCCAAACTCAGTAGTTTAAAAGTAATTTGATTTTCCAAAAACTTTTTTTTCAGTGCCAAAAAATTGCACGACCAGGCCAAAGAATGCATTCAGGATACATTCACTCAAAGTACATTGTGAATCTCTGAGTAGCTTGATTTCAAAGTCATGCTGGAGGTACCTAGAAAAGAAGTGGAACTTCAGTGATTTAAGTGATTTTGTCAAGATGCACAAGCTGACATTTTGTGCTAAAATTTTTGAGGCCTTCCCTATTAGTAGTGAAAGGAGGCGGGGAAAAAGGCTAAGATGGTTGGTTATACGTTGTCTAGATAGCAGAAATATCTAATTATTATGGTTGGTTATACATTGTCTAGATAGCAGAAATATCTAATTATTGTAGATGACCCTACTCCAGTAAAGATCCAACAGGTATTTTGATCTGTGCAAACCTAGATTGAAAACTAGCAAGAGGTACTGAATTATCAGTAATTCTCTTGCCTATGGAAAATATTTTTAATCCCAGTAGTTGACTTTAGTATCATAGTATCACTGACTTAACTGCAACCTACACAATTTGGAGGACAGAGTATCAGTCCAAAGAAGAGAAAGTTTTTCCAGAAAACGTTTAATAACACATTGCATTTCTGCAATACTGTCATGCTTTCAGTCTGAAACTTGCTTTACAGAAGTTTAATTCAATTCAGTAATACCCTGTGGAACTGGAAAGTGTTACACAGATGGGGGAAATGAACCAGAAAGAAGCTCACCGCTTTATACAGAGTAATTCAGCAATGCAATGATGGAGCCTACGAGGGGAGGCAGGATATTTCATCTGCAGTTCTGTATTTTAACAGGAGACTATGCTTCTCCTTTCACTACTTCTTTTGTATGTTTTTGTATGAATATCTCCCCAGTGTAGATAAAGTAGTGATCCTTGATCAGAAGTGATACTTACCACAATCGGATGCAGTAACTCTAAGTTCCATGTCATGAGCAAATGAATGATCCGTGTGGCAACAAGAAGCTGTATTTTAAGTGAGGGACCATCATCTAGTGGCAGCAAGGTCGCTGGAAATAATGAGTTCTGTTCTTCATTTTTATGGGTCTATAATGTGATCTTGTCACTAACCTTTCATTGTGATTTTTTTTTTCTCATCTGTCAAACAGGGAAACTTGATAATTTTCTTTCTTGTGTGAACGTTGTGATACATTGTTTTATAAACAATAAACTTGGAGACCTTTGAATCGCAACCACAAAATTATTTAAATACCACTCTTCAAATAGGAGGGCAGGATTTCTACACATTAAGACTTTGCATCACAGTTTACACTTCTGCTCTTGAACTTTATTTCTTATGTCCCCTTGGGCTACCCAGTGGAGAAGAAAAGAGCTGTAGTGCAGTGCTCCGTTTATAGCATTTTTTTTGGGCCATAATCCAGTTCTCTTCAAGCTGGAAAGAGCTTGCAGAGAGAAGCTGTTCTCAGGGAGTCTTTCTACTTCTTGTAATGCTTCTGTGAAGCAGAGTGACATAGAAGATCCTTTGTGTATTTGAGGAATTAGTTTAAGCTCTGCTTTTAGTTGCTGAAATTGCTTTCAAACTGAAAGGACTAAAAACTTTCCTACTTTTCTGTTATGTTAAAGAAAATTGCAGAAACAACATCTGAAGAATACAAATAATGTAGCAATTACAGACAGTCTCAAAAGTGATTATTGCAAAATTGTACAAATCATGCATGAGATGAAAGAAAAGAAAAAGCAACGGTGTCTGGATCTTGAGAGGCTTGCCAATACGGTCACCCGCATTGAAGAGGAAATTGTGCAGCTACGCAAAAAATATGAAAGGGCTATTCAGCAACAAAATGAGAGGTATACATGTAAATTTGATGTAATATAGTGTTTAATTTTGGCATTCATGAATCAACAATATTTTTCAACTTTTGAGCCCTCCAAATTAGGAATACTAAAAGACTGCCTCACTACAATGTTTCACTAAACAGTCTGCCTCACTGCAATGTCGGGGCTGCTTTGCATTACGCAGATGTTTTTTCTCCATTGGAGAAGACGTTCATTCTTCAGAACTAGTATTAAAAAATATGGCAGATCGAACGCCTTGAGAGCTTGTAGCCTCCTGCCCTGTTTGTGCTTTGTGCGCAGATAAGGTATAAAAATGCAGAAGATGTAAGGCTCCCTGATCATGTTAATCCATTTTTAAAAGAATGCTGTGGAAGGCCAGAAGAGCTTTTAAAATTATATGAGAGACTAGATCAGCCTTTGCAATTGTTTGTTCTCTGATTTTCACATTGTAATTATTTTGTTACCTGTTTAAAATGTTGTCATGATATTAAAATAATATTTGTGAATCCTTGGTACATTTTCCCAGATTATTACTATCTTTCAAGGTTGCCGGTTATGTTCTTGAATGGAATACATTGAATATGAGTCAAATTTTTTTAAATTTTACTTTTTCATTTTGGGCTTATTGCAGTGGTCTTCTGCTCAGAAATCGAGAAGAAGAACTATGCATTTTATATGAAAAAATAAACTTGCAAGAGATGTTATGTAGAAATGGAGATATTGAGATGCAAGTTATGGATGAAAAGATCAGATTTCTGAAGCTGAAGGTAGCTGAGAAAAAGAGACAGATTAAATTGTGGTTCAAAGCACTCCCGGTGAAGAATGCCCTGGATGCACATCTGGTGGTACTTCAGATACAGGTTGGTGGGAAAGAAAGCCTTTTTTTGGTTTGTATTTTTCTGTATTTTAAAACTTAGGGTAATTTCATAGACCAAAAAAATGTCTTGATGTACAAGGCTTATTGAAACAGAAAGTTCGGTAATACACCTGTCTAGCAAAGCACTGATGCATGTTTGTAACTTCAGATGTGTGAGTTTCTATGCTTTTGTGTAACTGGCTGATACATTTTGTTATGCACATGCCAAATGCTTCCTGGGTATGGAATCTCAGCTAACCCTCCCCACAGCCTGAAATGTCAGTATGACTAAGCTGGAGAATGAGAGTCATGGGGAAAAAATGGGAGTGTAGATAAAATTTGTTAAAACTGTATTGATGGGGGTAGCTGGAGGAGCGGGAGATATACTTAGCTCTTCAAATTTCTAAAATAATAACTCAATTCACACTTGACCCTGAGCCTACTCTGGAAACTCTGCTGCCTACAATGATAGAATCCACATATATTTTCTTCTACACAAAAACAGTGTAAGTTTTAGTTCTAGTTACAACATGACATTAAACAACTAACATACTGCAGTGTTCATCATTGTTTGGGACATTCTTTCCTTGCTTTCTGAAATGGCTCATTTACTTTTGACCTTATCCCCAGATGGTAATTTTTTCCATACATATTCTGTTAGTGTCTGCACAAAATCATAAATTAGGGTGTACCATTGCCATTTGTAATTGCGTCGATGGGAGCTGCGACTCACTGTTAAATAGTGCTTGCACTTTTCTGTTACTTCTGGTCTTTTAAAGAAATTGTATGCTCTGCTAAAAGAATAAAATGTTGTACAATACCTTATGCAAATTGTACCCTGAAGAACTTTACACTGCCGTTACATATTTAAACGATGAATGAAGGGAGTATGAAAAAAAGATGATAGACTGAAGAAAAAAAAAAAAAGAGATGTTTTCAGGTAAGATTTAGAATGAGACTGAGAGTCGCTGAGTCAAATACAGTAACAAAATGCAGATGATTTTTGTGAACTGACAGTCAATCATGAAACTTTGATTTTTCTGTTCTGCATTCCTAAAACTTTCTCCTTTGTTATGATGGTTCATGTGAAACCTGAAGTCACCATTAAAGGGAGGCTATTGTTACAGGTGCTTTAAATCTTTTTGCAATATTGACATAAAAAGTAGGGAAATAGAGAGTGGTGCGATATTACAGATGGAGTAGTCTTAATAGATGTTCCCAAGTCAGAGATTTTCCAGGGAACAATGGCAAATAACCAGTTACCAGCCTTTAAAATGTAACTAGATACTGTGGGTACTGAATGTTACGTAGTTCAAACTGGCCATTAACCCAGCCATCTCCTTATGCTCAACCATTCTAGCATTAATACTCTTCCTCCCACCACCAATAGCCATTATGTCTAGTGAGAAACAGTTTCAAATTGTTTGGTTTTATCTCCATGATTTAAATAAAAGCCATAAGCCTGAGTCTGAATTCTGGTGTTGGTGCCAAATTCAGAATGCTAATTCCTGTACCCATTACAGATTTGGCCCCATGTTGAAATCTGACTCGGCATCTGTTCAGTTATGATGTGCAAAGGATCTTACGGTAATGATCATTCGCACAAGCCTTTGACTTGATGTGGTGAATACAGATCTAAATCACTTGTGTTGTCTATGAAACCAACCTCTGACACCAAGCTGAAATCTGAAGAGGTGGTAACGGGAGCTCCCTTTCAACTACCATTTGTCTATCTTTCAATTTAGATAATTATAAACGTTCAGAGAGAGGATCAGTGCACCACAGGACACTGAAACCCTGATTTCTGTCAGAGGCCCTTAGACCTCCTATAATGGAGACCGTAAATCTCGTTTCTGAGTTCTCCTCTTAGTTTTTATTTCTTCATTCTGTTGCGACCTTGTATAGGAGCCAGCGTGCCTAACCTTAACTTTGTGTTAGGAGCCCACAGAACAAATTATTCAGGTAAGTGAACAAGGTCTCTTGTTGGGTGGAAAGAGTTGGGTGCCTTTGCCTCCAGAGGGAGATGCTGATAACCCTACTTAGGGAGCACAATATTCCTCTTGGAGGTCTTTATCCTCAAGGCACCTACCTCTCCCTATCGATTTGAATCATGTGAGAAGGATGCTTCAAAAGGCTCCTACATTTGAAATACAGTTTAGACCACTTGAATTAGGCAGGCTGAATCCTGTACCCAGACCTCTTAAATTTTATTCTTCCCTTTTTCCTACCCTTCCTGTCTCCTTAAGTCTTGGGTATTTTTCAGACTTTGTCATCTTATTCTTACCTGTACTATTTTCCTCCTCTCCTGCATTTCCCAACCTTCCCATTACCCCAGAACTTTTTTCCATTTTCTCCCTCCACAGGTGAATTAAACTTTCTAGTATTGAATGCTGACTGATTTTCCAACAACAGATATCCGTCATTGGTTATACTTGAAATATAGAGAGAGAAATCTGAAAGGAAAACAAGATCCAGTCTCACAAAATAGAAAAAGTTTCAGTATTTGTTGTTTGTTTGCATTTGACTGAGATCTTTTGACTTTTTTAGAGACACTGTTTGAACGTAAGTCTCGCATATTCTCAACAGATGCTTTAATCATCACCAAATCAGCTGTTCTGAGATGGGATATCCATTTCTGTTAGAGATATACTCTTGGAATAGATGGATGAATGAGTACATTGTATTCAATAGGCTGCAGAAACTGACCCTGTATCTCGGTGGCTGTGGTAGCCATTGGGAAGAGGAAAAGCACAGGTCAGGGCTCTGTGCCAATTCAGGAAGAACAAAAATTTCACCTGGGTCTCCTATACTCCTGTACTTCCTTTATCTGACACAAAAAATACCTAAGAGAGATTCTAAGGTGGTTTTCCCTGGGCATAAAACTATGTAACTTTTAATTGGGACTGCACATCAAGGGACTGTTCCGCTGACTGAAATGACCCGTGAAAACTAATCTGCCTTCATGCATCAATGAGAAATACTTCGCATTAATCATTAATTAGTCCAACATGTAGACCTGCTGAGCTGTCAAGACGCTGTAGATGTCAAGACTTTCATGCCTCAGAGTTCAACTAACGTAACAGGGACCGACAGTTTCATTGAGGCATTTGGCATCAACATTTATCCAGCTTTTAATATAACCCCAATAAAGTCTCCAGACTACATCATCACAGTCATAGAAAAATGGGGCTAGTAGAGAGGTAAAGAGTTTATCCAGGCAGTCCTGCTCCTACTCCGGCATAGGACTGCCTGTCATTCCTGAGCGGGCTAAGCTGTGCTTTCAAACCGCCACTGGGAAACTCCAGTTTCCCCAGCGAGCTATCCCAGTGCTTCCTTAACAGTGGAAAGGTTCTTCTTAACCGTTAGTCTGGATATTTCTTGCTGCAGCGTAAGCCTATTGATTGGTATTCTGTCCACCAGGGACATGACAAACAGATCATTCTCTTGCTCCCTGCAACAACATTTCATGCTACTGGAAGACAGTGAATCATGTTCCTCTCCCATCCTTTTGCTAGGCTACACAACCCTGTTCCTTCATTCAGCCCTTACAGATTTTTCTTAGATCATTCTTTTTTTGCATTTCTTTTATTTTTGGCAACTTGGTCTTTATTTTTCTCAAGGTGCAGTGCCTAATATCACTGGCTGAGAGTGAAAGGATTCTTTCAGGCTTCTTGCAGGTTACATTCCTGCTTATGTGTCCCCGTACGACGGTAGCCTTTCTTGCAACATGACATATTGATTCATCTTCATGCAAATGTATGTAACAACCAGACCCTTTTTTAGAGAAAGGGTATCTAATCAGTTGACCTTTATTCTGTATTTGTACAGGTAATTTTTCCTGCCTACATGTAGCACCTTGCATTTGTTATTTAATATTACCTCTTTTGTTCAGACCTTTTTTCAGATCAAGGTAATTTTGAACTTGAATCTTCTCCTCCAAAAAGTATTTGCAGTCTCTCTGAGCTTAACCTCATTCTACTGATGTAGTACTTACCTTATATTTTTGTGAAGACTCTGTTTCCTTAGCTTGTTTATGAGAATGTCATATGAAACAATAGCAAAGCCATGTAAAAATCAATATGTATGATACCTACTATTTGTCAACCGCACAAATGTTAAATTATCATAGTAGGAAATTGGGCTAGCTTGCCATCACTCAACACACCGGTGTTGGCTGTTATTCATACCCTTTTTCTTTTCTAGCTACCTACAAAGAAAGCTTAATCATTTGTTCCAGATTTATTCTTCGGGAAGTGAAGATAAGTTATCTATAGTTCCATAGCTCCTTTCCCCCCCCTTTTTAAAAATAGGTATGATATTTGCCTTTTTCTAGTGCTCTACGTACCTCACCTACCTTCTCTGAAATTTGTAAAATAAGCAGCAGACCTCCACTTCTTCAGACTGGTCCCTTTATCTAGGCATGTGTTCCCTCTCGGCTGTTCGTCCTTCAACACCTCCTCCTGACTGTTTACAATCAAACGTAGAACAGCCTCTCTTGCAGAGCCTCCTCCTATCCCCTGTATCAAATCCACTCCAAGAAAGAAGGGTCTTTTTTGGCTTTAAGACTTAGAATCTCTTAGAACTCAGATAAACACTGCAAATTAGGAGAAAATAAAGATGCCTATAGTATTTAACATGAAACTTTTAATGGATTTTTTTTTTTCGGGTTTGGACAGTGTTTTTTCTGCAAGTCCTTCTTCTCTAAAGTAACAATTCAGTCCTGCAAAATTTTACTTGGTGAGCTGTCCCTAATCTCATTAAGGTACCACTGCCTCCAACAAGGCATTTTCACCTGAGTTAGTGGTTAAAATATTTGGCCCCAGATTATGAAACATTACTGGAAGCATAGCTGCATCCTGTTGTTTGTGCTGGTCCTGCTCTTACGTTCTTCCGCTCTGTGTATTATTTGGCTTGAGTTTTTGTTGTTTATAATTAAAATAAATAAAGCTCTCAGCACCCCTGAAACTAGTTACACACTGAATGGCATTCATTTTAAACCGAATCATGATTTGACAAGGAAATTGTTCATTACAGTTATTTAGGGTTTTTACTTTGCCTGTTCTCAGCCAAAGTGTGAAAGAAAGAGCTGCATGATGCTTTTTCACCAGAAAAAGAAGTATTTAAGACAAGTGTTCTGGTAATGTTCCATTATCACCTGAGAAGATCTGTCAGTTTTCTCTTTTCCAGTTAAACATGACTTGTTAACTTCCAGTGAACAAACCCCATCCCTGTAGCAACATCTAAATATTTACTTTGTCTTTTTGCTGGCTGTTCATAACTTTAAGAGCCAGTGACCACTTACTTCCTTAATGATAGCATCACCTGCAATTGATGGTTAGCATTTATAGCAACTTACTTGGGTTATGTCATGTCAGTGCTAATAGATGAAGGTTGGAGTGACTATGTGCTGATGGATGGCCAGGTGCATAACAAAGCACAAAACCCCACCACTGTCAGTCTTGCAAGTCCAAACATGAAGAAATGGTCCCAGTCACTCCTTCAGTGAGTATTTATGCAAAGCATGGGTGTCCATCTAGTGTATTCTGGGAAGCGTTATTGCATGGGAAGGTCTCACATCGGAAGGGTCAGGGAACACCTGCCTCTATAGGTCCCCAGAGTACCACATTGCTCCGTGTCACCACTGAGTCACTTCAGGACACATGCACAGAACGTAGGAAACTTAGATGCCTATAGGGATGAGACCTTTAGTGCTAACCAGCGGGAAGAAGGACTTTCAGATTTACCTTGCAAGCAAACTGTCAGGCACTTGCATCCTTCCTACATCCCTAAATGGACCCTCTGGGTCAAACAGAAGATTGTAGGAAATAAAGGAAGACCTCCCACCTCAAACGTTTGGTGTATTCCTGAGGATAAAAAAAGTAGCCTGAGGACAAAGCAGGAGGTGGGACTCAATTTCTGGCAGACAGCAGGGTTTGCTTCCATCCTGCAACTGTCACACTCTTGTCTCCTTAAAAAAAAAATTAAAAATGGCTCATAATCCTTTGCATTAACCCTCTCCCCCCAGCACAAGGAAACCTTGTCTGTTAGCACTAAGTCTGCGGGATCAAACTCGGGGGGTGAGTTAGGCAGGGACGTGCTGCTGCCAAGTCCCAGAGGAGCCCCAGGCACCCCCCACTGCCCCCACGCAGCCGCCTCCACCACTGGAGGTGCCAGCTCAGCCGGGCTGCAGAGACCTGGGGAGGGGGGAAGGAATCAGGCGCCAGTAGGGGCTCCCACCTTTCCCGGTGCTCCTCTCCCTCCTCAGGATGGAGCCGTAGCTGTGGCGGGTCTCAGCTCGCTGCCCAGCCCCAGCGGCTGTGCTCCATCCCCCCGCCGGCTAACAGCAGCTGTGGAGGGTGGCCCTGAGCCCACCCCGTTATGGCCCAAAGGACATGATTTTGTACGAACCATCTGAGGCTTTTCATCCAGCCCACCAGCAGATGCTGAAGAGGGTATCAGCCCCTAGGACAGCCTTTTTCTGACTTACCAAACGTGATGAAAATCATCCTCCGCTCCAGGGCTCTTGTCGTGGTACCTGGTGGCTCAGAGAAAAAGCCTCTTCCATGTGGCAGCATTATATATACACAATTTCAGGTGGTTGTGTTGCATGTGGAGAAGGAGTCAAGGGAACAAGCATTCAAGACAGTTAAACCACTAATAAGATGAAGCTGATTTGTATTTATGCATTATAGGGATGACTTTCTGTGACACCATCTACTGTTTTTTCAAATTCCCATTCATTAGCAATAGGACAGGAGAATGACAGACATCCACCTCTGGTTTCGTACAGAAATGTTTCCCAGCCTTTGACCAGTATCGTTTTGTTTAGTCCTACACCGCCCGAGCATCCCAAACGTCTCCCAGCAAGGCTGGAGTCTTGCTTCCAAGCCCAGGAGTTGGCAGTGCAGCCACCCCAGCCGCTTTAGTGCAGTTCTCCTGGTGTAAATCAGACACACTGAGACCTTCCATCTCTGGTCATGTAGTAATAACGGGGCCTTTGGCTTCTTGTCTGAAAAAATAACCATGGTGGCTTTTTGTTTGCTAGCATTCCCAGTGCAAGGACAGGATTAAATGGATGGAGGAAATCTTTGCTGACCCCACGAATGAGAGTAGAAAGCGAGACTTGGGAGGGAAGGACCCATCTCCACCCGAGCTGCTAAAAAAGATTGAGCAGGTAACATCACCTCACGTCACAAGCTCTCACACTATGATTGACCTCTTTTAGAAAAAGCAAATGGTATCTTTTATTTTTAAAATAAACTTTCTGTAAAAGGAATTAAAATAATTATGATTGGCTAATGGGAACTCCAGCCCAGTGTCTGCTTTCCAGGACAACCGCATGTGGGACATTTTGACTTCTTCCAGCAAAGCCTGGAGAGCAGGAGCAAAACACGGGCTCTGTGCGGTACACCTGGCTCTGCAGCATCCTCTGCTAGCTGGTCCATTCGCATCGCTGGCACTTCAATGCAGACCCTCCTGCTTCACTACGGGAAGGCACAGAAAAGGCAGCGGAGGGAAAGAAATGCAAAATAATAAACCGCTAACGAACGAACTTGTCATTCTTCTGCAACCGGCTATTAGCTGTTCCACCACAATGCTCAGGCTGTGAGCTGGAGGCAGTCCCACGACCCTCTTAACAAAGTCTGCATACGTGACATAGGATCAAGCAAACATCCTTCTCAGGCTTTGGCTTTGCTGCTTTGTTTCCGTGCTGAACAGGGAGCCACAGAACAGATCTTCATGGAAGAGGCAGCCAAGCAGCTGCACGCCTGACTGCAGCACTGCCAGTGACTGCCAGAGGAGGCTTCAAAATGAAGCATGAGGTCCAATATAAAAGCCAATTTCAGGGCACCTCCTGTATGGCATATGTGGGGAAGGTAAAGGAATGGAATGAGCAACCATGATATTTTTGTCTGTCCCATTTATAGGGGCACAAAACTCCCTCCCGCTGTATTTAATGTTTGGGCAGGATTCACGCAGGACTGTGAAGGTATTAGGGTACTGGCGAGCTCGGAGCAATACACACCTAAGTCCTCCTTTTGAAATCCAGTTTGTAAGGATTTACCATGAACACTTCTGCTTGAATTACTTGAGCTTTTTGCTTTACTGTCCCATATTCCTTGACAAAAGGGAACTCTGCCTAGCCAAGCAGGCTACAATACAGCCCCCTATTACCAACCCACACATTAAAAAGCCGGGTTTCTTGGAGTCGTGAGAGAAGTTTAAATGTTCTCTTTCAATCTCCTTATGATTTTAAAGTCCTTTTAGTTGCACAGTACTCTCTTTTTTAGTCTTTGGAGCCCATACTTTCTTTTTTTT